GAGAAAATGATTCATGACATAGAAGAAAATGAAAAGCAGGACAACATGAGCATTACAAATTTAAGATAAAAAGAAGTAAATTTTTTAGAAAGCTATCACTAGGACAAAATAACGAAATGCTAGACAAAAACTGCTTTCCCATCTGTACCATGTAAGGAATCTTATAAATATAATATAAAGGTAAATTAATAGTTAAAGTAAAATATGAAAATAGGCAATTTAATGATACAAAAATTAAAAATCCAACTTGTCAAAATCACTTTACAAACACCTATTTATTCATATGTGTGAGTGTTTATGTATGTGCATGAGTGCATGTGTGTGTGTGTGTGTATGTGTGTGTGTGTGTTTGTGTGTATAAAATGACACATTCTAGAGATATACTGGTAACCAAATCAAGTCTAATGGCTGGGCAAGGCATTAAACAACTACACAAACTCAGGAATTGCAACTATGACAAGTGCTATAGAAAAGGTACTCAACTTCATTGGTGAAGAAAATTAAATAATGAAATCTGCTTTTTATCATCAGGCAATTTTACCATTAGTAACAGCTACATTGACCAACCAGGCTATGGGGAAATTTTAACTCTACAATACTTCTATTTAGAATATTATAAATCAATACATATATTTGAGAAAGAAAGATCACAGTATTCATCAAATTATTAAATGTATAAGCCTTTCAACATGACACTCTACTTTCTGAAAACATATAGGACCTCTAGTAAACCATATATATTTCCACAAAGAGCCATAGCAATGGTTTCTTATTTTTAAATAAGGAAAAAATGTAAATGTTGATAAAATCATACAGGGAATATATGATCATTAAAAATAATGAAGGCCAGTAAATAGAGCATTTTGTAAAGTGAAAAATGCATACTTCTAGGCATTGCGTGGAATATGATAAATTTGCAAATAAACCAGGCAAAACTGTCTTCTTTTATAAGTTCATGTTTGTACAGGTGAAAAAGAATTTTAAAAATATCATCCTACTAAGAACAGTGACCAGCTGTAGTGATGAAAGTTGTATTCAGGCATTGAGAAATGTGTGGAGTTAGAAAGAGAGGGAATATGGTGGGATATGAAAAAAGATCTTCATTTATATTCTGTATCATAATAGCATTTACATGCTAAAAATCCTTGTGACCTGAGTAATTTAAATCTAGTAAATATATAAAAATATTTATGTACTCTCAACTAGTATGAAATCCTTATTACCACAAACATAAAATTATAATGGAAATTTTATTTGTTTATTTGTTTTAAAGATATAAAAACAATGATACCAAATTTTAAATCAAGATAGTAGGAGAATAACAAAGGATAATGTGTTGCATGTAGTTATCTTCAAAGTAGGCACTCAGATTAGAAGATATAGGCATGAAAAACTGCACTGCAATAAGCAAATCTAAAAACCAGGGCAGAAATCAATTATCACATATGTTACATACTGCTGTGATACGGGCTTATATACAGTAGAATTCAAAGAGGTAATACTCAAGAAACAAAGGAATGCATAGTAAGAAATGTTATTTGGTACTGAG